AAGCTCAAAAGTTAAGGACACTTGGTCCTGAACTTACAATTACAAGTTCAAAAGTTAAGGACACTTAGTCCTGAACTTAGACTAACAAGAAAAGTTAAGGACAATAAGTCCTAAACTTAGACTTACAAGTTCAAAAGTTAAGGACAAGTAGTCCTTAACTTAGAGTTACAAGCAAAAACTTAAGGACAGGTGGTCCTGAACTTCGAGTTCCAAGTTCAAAAGTTAAGGACATGTTCAAAAGTTAAGGACATGTAGTCCTGAACTTAGAGTTCCAAGTTTAAAAGTTAAGGACATGTAGTCGTGAACTTAAGTTCAAAAGTTAAAGACATGAGTAGAAGAGTATTTTCGTCCGAACAGTTAAAATTTATTAAAGCAATGGCTAAAAACTAAAGAACATTTTAAACAGTGGCTTAAAAATAAATACATATGTTATTAGTGACTAACCGTGCACTTCCCCTATGAAAAATCCTCTAAGGTGAACTCCAAGCCCATATAGTAACACCATAAACCCAACGAAGTGCAACCCAACAACACACGGTCATTATCTGAGACTAGTTTGGCCTTTTTTCACTTTCCCCATTTCGTATTTTCTAGAAATAATTCCCAAATGCGACCACTCAAATATAATGGATTTCTCTACCGAAAATAACTATAACTAATTGATTCCTTTATCTTCCTTTAACTTAAAACGGGCGAAGTACACAAATAACTATATTTAGGACCCCAATTTAAATAAATTTCTAAGTTTATAAAGCTTTTAAAGTTTAACCGCTTCAAACTCAAATTGAGAGTGAAGTTGAAAATCACGGATCTAAAGTTTCAAACTTCGATTCTAAAATTGGGGCATAACTTTACGATACTTACACGATCACAAACAAATATGTATTTGCAAGGGTTTTATACTCGGGGTATTATCACTTTTAGGCCGCGTAATAAACTATTTACATTTGGTATCCGAAAAAATATATAAAATTTGTATGATTTTTGTATATATAAACACATAAATTTTATATATTTTTTCGACTATTATTTTTACAACGACTATACAATGTTATTTTTCCTTCATACTCAGCAAGGGCCCAATGGCGACGGGAATGGGCTCCCGTTTCTAGTTTAGCTAGGTTGACCATGCAACTAGTTAGTAGATGAATTTAATCCTCAAAATTGACAAGAGATAAAATTAAACATGTAGACCTTCAAATTTAAGAAGGACTAGATCTTTTCGTTTAATTGATCAGCTATATAGTATCTGTTCTCTTTTTTATAACCATACATTAATGTTGACAATGGCAATAAAAAAAACTAATTAAGAAAAGAGAATGTGGCGGTGAGTTTATTTGGAACCCACTGAAATTCAGTGCTCAACAGATATTAAGGGAACTACTTCTATAATGCTCGAGTTATATTACACGTTGTCAAAACCCTCATATTATTATTACATAGTACTGAACAGGTCGCAAAATCCTAATCATTAAATACTTAATTTCAGTCCATTGGAGCGTCATTAATATTTACTAACAGCTTTATTTAAAATACAGGAGAAAGCAACTTTTTATTTCAAAAATATTGTAGCGCAATATATGATTTACTGTGAATACAAAAAAATGTATAGAGCAATGACTTAATCCAAAAGTTAACGAGGCAGTAGTGCTGTCAATATGGCCTGCCTTGACCCGGCCTAGTTTCTTTTTCTCTTTTTTTTCTTTTCTTTTCCCGTGGCTTTATTCTATGATAAGATCTACAATTGTGACAACATAAAGTAGTACTACTATATATAATTAGACGCACAAATACAGTAATAATGAAAATAATCATCTTCTCTCGAAAGGGGAAGGGTCGACCGTCGATATATAGTAAAAAAAAAAATATTTAAGTAATTGCCTAACATCCGTGCATTACTTGTCCTATTTTCCTCGAAAATCTGTACATGCAGTTATCGTCGGGCTAAAGATGAGAAAAGTTTCTTTGTTTAGCTTGTACTCGAGCATTTCACGGGTGTCCTCGGAGCTACACAAACAATTAACAAAAACAACTTAATTAGTACTATAGCTTAATCATGGAAACTATTCTATATAGGAGGAAGTAATGAATTTATTAGATTACCTAATCCAATGGCTTCCGAGCTCTTCATCAACCTGATTCTCTTACAAGTATCAACAAACATTCTGGAAAATAAAAAGGAATATAAGTTTCCATCACATCAAAATAAATTAAGGATTTAAATTTTATGCGTTCATATTCGTAATTCTACCACATCTCATTTAATTTAATGGGCTCAAAATTTATTATTTATACATATTTAATGATTTTCTGAGCAGCGAAAAATATGAGTTCAGCTGAACCCTTAGATCACCATAACAGAGATTAAAATCCAAAAATAGAAAAGAGTTTAACTCTTATGCATTCACATATTCGATAAGAACGATTACGTGAAAGAAAGACAACAAATCAGAGGACAAAAGAGAAATGAGGACGTAAAATTAACATACTTCCAAGGAACATCTCCAACAAGCATCCGGTCTCCATCTTTATCTTCATAGGTTGGTACATATTCCACACCATTTGTAATGTCCATAAGCTTGCTTTCGCTTTGAAAATTACCTGATTAATTACCATTTAATTTCACAATTAACATCATGATTCATATATTATAAACACAACGACAGATTAAATTGGAATTGAAATTGTGTACTTACAGATAGTTAGGCAAGTAAACATGTTTTGTAGAGCATTTAACATCTTCTGGTAACTGTCGTACAACTCCAAATCTACTTTTCTCAAGTAAGGAGCTCCATCTACTGCCACTTTCACATACTTGCCCTTGTCTATCATGTTTTTCCTGTATGATCTCACAGGTGGCCATCCCACTACTTGTGCCCTATTATCATGAATTCATAAAATTCAATGGCCGAGCCAGAAATTAAACCACAGGAATTTTAAAAAATCTTAATGCCAAGAGATTCAACAACTTATATGTAAGTAAAAAAAAAATCATTTTTGCTTTATTTACACAGTAGTAAAAAAAATCATTTTTGCTTTATTTACACAGTAGTATAATTTTCCCTCCGCCCCTCTAGCGTGTCACTGTCTACCGTAGGGGCGGAGCTAGAATAGGTGTTGTGGGTATAACCCAACCCAATAGCTTTCGCCCAAACCCTATATTTGTCTTAAGATATTCATTGAATATGTATAAATTATTAATTTAGAATCAATAGCTTAATGGACTAGAATCCCGAACTCATAAAGTTCAAATTTTGACTTCGAAGAAGTACTTAATTTTGTCAATGCTAGAAGTGTATGTATTGAAATTGAGAATTGAGTTAATTAGAGGACTTACTTTGCTGGAGGTTTGGTTCCAGTAGAGATTTCATTTTTAGAGTGATAATCTTCAGAGTTAGAACTCCCTAGGCTTAATTCCATAGCGTCGGAGATTCCACGTTTTGTGCCGGAGATTTGCTTTCGCGATTCCCCGGGTAAGCCGAGGGTGAGCTCAGTTTCCTTGAAATTGAAGCCGGAGATATCAGTTTCCGGCAAGTCATTGGCTGCTTTGAATTTCTCCGATGACATCCCTTTTTTGGCTTTCCACTTTTAGTAGGCTAAAAAAGTTTTTAGATTCTTTTGATGAAATTGATATTGATATTGATATTGATATTTTGGTGCTTGAAAAAGGAGACTTATTATTATTACTACCGCGAATGATTCAGCGTTTTGGCCGCTATATATAAATAAGTTCATGGGAAAGTGGACGGAAGACTGTCATGTTGACCATTCTCTTATTGACACGTGAATGGTTCAGATTTGACCACGTTGATGGAAACACGTGCATCTCCGACCTTGGGGCCTTGTGTCGGCTCTCAATTGCTACACCGCAGAAATTGACAACTTATTCAACTCTAGTAATAGCAGTGTAGAAATTGTAGCACATGAAAGAAATAACCAAATTGCCGCCATTTCATCTCTTAAGCTAAAAATTAGCTGCGAGAGATAATAATTTTGCTTAGGAAAAGGTTATTACTCCCTTAGTTTTAAATTATCTGTGGTAATTCTTGTTTACACACTCCTCAAAAAAATACTCTCCCTGATTCACTTTAAGTATTTTCGGCTGTTTTTATACATATTAAGAAATCCACTTTTTAGCGTTAATTAATAATGTAATTGATCATATTAACATTAATTTGTTCATTAGAAATACAACAAATACTCCTAAGTTTTTTGCTCCAAGGGCAATTTTTTTAAAAAAGAAGTTAATTCTTTTTTATATTTGAAAAAATCAAATATTCGAGTGGGATTTTACTGGGTATGTTACGTTGTTGTTGTTGTTGAAAAAATCAAATATTATGGACCATAAAAAAGGCCAAAAAATCACTGAAATTGGTGGAGAGAGTAATAATTATGAGAAGTTTTTGACTATTATTCTTATTTATGTCTTTTACTCCATCCGGTCCAAAATAAGTGATTTTTTGGCTTTTTTTCTTGTGGTCCAAAATAAGTATTTTTTTCAGATTTCAAGAATAAATTAATTAATTTTTTGTTTACTGTGAGAATGGTAATACAATTAAATTTGATTATGGGACTCTAAAAACACGTGAACTATTTTTATGCTAGTTGTTAAGCAGTTAATGCTATGTATGTGAGATTTAGAAATGAAATGAGAGTTAAGTATAGGATAATAATCAAACCGATAGGCTAATTATCGGGGCCTCGAGCTTGTCGATTCGGGGGCCTCGAGGTCGATTCCGGAGCTCGGCGGGGAGCTATCAAGGGGAGTCGAAGTATGGCTAACAGTTATGATAAAATCAACGAAAGCTCTTTATGGCCAATGATACGCAATAAATGATGAACAACAATGAAGATAATAAATAGAAGCAATAATATCAAGAGAATGTGTTAGAGAACAAAGAGAATGTTTCTTGTATATTTCGTGTGGAGCAGCTGAAGCAACATGACTTTACAAAATGGCAAGGACCCCTTTTTTATAGAAAAGGGGGGAATCCCATCATAGTACAAACACATTTATTACAACGAAAAGGGGATGGGACAGTTAGCTGATGTCATGATGCAGGCTCAGACTAGCCTGACAGATTTATCGACTCTAGTTGTACCTCTTGGGAACTCCCCTCTTTTCCACTATAGTCGTTGGTCTACATTGCTCCGAGGCCGAGCCTCGATAGCCTTTGAAGGCAAAACTCGACCCCAGTTTCGAGCCTTGCTTGGGAAGTATGTTTGCGGGGCATCATAATGACGAGGAAATTGGTCCCTCCGATTTCACCGTGCATAAATAGTCTTCGCGTTTCTTAGAGTGAAAGTGATAAGAAATGACTTTGAGCCTTTGCCCCCTCCGATATTCTCGTAACGACATCAGTCACAAGGTGCCAAAAGATGGTGTACACACAGCCCTTGAAGGATTCCGCATTGATTATGGCGATTAGCTGCCCCTTGGCCTCCTACAACGCGTACGTAGGGATTCTATAAATACTTCCCTTCTCGTTCTTTCCCACTCACTACGTTTCCAAAACCCAAAAATAGGTTCCTTCTTCCTTTACCTTTGTTCTTTCCTAAGAATGCGACTCCCCTTTTTCTTCCGGAATTTTTCCGGTAATGGCAAAAACTTCCGCCTCTGTTTCTTAGGAGAATGTGGCCTCATCCTCTTCTCTTTTATCTCAAGGTGAAGTGGCAATGCCTCATCTGTTACGCCCCGCAGTATCGCGATGATGTTATCCTCTGCAGTAATATATTATGATGATGTTAAGCCTTGCAGTATTACATTACAGTGATGTCATGCTTCGCAGTATTAAGTTACGATAATGTTGCACCCTGCAATATTATATTACGGTGATGTTACGCTTCGTAGTAATAAGTTGCGACGATGTTGCACCCTAAAGTATTGTACATTGAATTTGTCGTAAGGTACTTGGCATCAATCCAGGGAAAAGATTATTTGGAGATTATAAGGATTATAAGTGATGAGTAAATTCGTGAAGGTAAGTGAGTAAGTAATATCGAAGAAAACGAATTTTGTCGAAGTTTGGCATTTTGATATAAAATACGGCCCAGACTAAAATACCCGATATTTATGGACTAGTACCATACAAGATACCACATGACCATGATAACAAGATGTACAAAGTGTGTTAAAAGTGAGTAGTATTTTAAGTAATTTGAGATAATTCTTAATTTTATGTATAATCAGATAATTATTGATTTTAGTGGAAAATTAGCAATTAATTACGAAGTTGATAGCTAATTGGTTAGGAGTAGCTAAGGTTTAATGTGGCAGTCATGTATGGGTTTTATATTGACTAGGCAAGTATGGTGCTAAGTGGCAAATTTATGGAACTCTTTTGTGGCTAAGTCATCCTTAAATAGTAGCCACCTAGCTAAAGACCTAAATCTTAAGAGAATGATATGAATTGAAATATATTCATAACAGTCATGATATTAGACCCTAGGAAATTAACTTGTCAATAATCATAAGATGGAGGAAGGAATCCCAAAGCAATCAAAGTTTCATTTCAACGACAAAAGCTTAAAGGCTTGATATCACAATCTGTTGAAAACCAAAAACGTGGAATCAAGAAACCATTTCGTCCAAATCCTTAGCCAAATTTTGATTGAAATTTCAAAGAAAGCAACTACAATTTCGTTTCAAAATTTCAAGGGATTCAAGCAGAATTTCGTTCAATATATTTCACAGAAGCAGAAGCTTTATTACGTTCAAATAATTCCAGGAACAAGTATGTTAAGGCTAAACCTTTCTTTCACGTGGCATGATCCAGTAACTACATGTGTTTGACAACAAGACATAAAGAGAAGTTCATACTCCCGAATTTATATACACTATCCTAGTCTCATAAGTTACAATATTCTCCCTTATCGGGACTTTATATTCAGTTTAGTTTTATCTTATGTCAGCCAAGAGAGCAGAGAATCTATATGTANATATATATATATCGAGCCTTATAGGGACGGATAACTATTTTACTCACTATATTGAGAGAGTTGAGTCAATATATATATATATATATACCTAGCCTTATAGGGACGGATAGCTATTTTACTCACTATATTGAGAGAGTTGAGTCAGTACAGCAGGTGAGCATATCTTTAGATTTTCTTTGACTCCCAATTATTTTCAGTTTTAGCTTTCAGTATATTGCCTTACATATTCGGTACATTATTTCGTACTGACATCCCTTTTCTGGGGGTGCTGCATTTCATGCATGCAGGTTCAGACAGACAGACAGGTAAGCCTCCTCATTAAGTGTTACCCGAGTTTAGCTTGATCGGTAAGATCCATGCCTTTTGGAGTTTCTGGGTCTAGAGCCTTATGTACATCTTGTATATATACGTATATATGTTATGAGTAGGTCGGGTAGCTTTTCCGATCACAGTATATCTATCAGTAGAGGCTTGTAGACATATCCTATCAGTTAGTGCAGTATGTTGGGCTTTCAGGCCTTGTATGTATATTTGGTTGGTTTGTCAGCTGTAATAATTATAACGGCCTTGTCGGCCCAGCTTTATATTGATATTCAGTTAGCATTCACAGTTGTCTTACATTGTGGCCTATGGACAAAGTGTGACATAATATGTTTAGAGTCCCATAGTTGCAAGTTGGTACGCAAGGATAGGTAAGACACTGGGTGTCAGTCTTTCCCCCCAAGTTCGGGGCGTGACAAAAGTGGCATCAGAGTAGTTCTGTCCTAAAAAGTCTACAAGCTGTGTCTAGTAGAGTCTTATTTATGGGTGTGTCGTACACCACACTTATAAGCAGGAGGCTACAAGGCATTTAGGATTGCCACTTTTTCTTCTTACTCTAGACAGTGTGGTAGAGCTCATTTATAAGAATTCAAATTCTGAAATTCTATTTTATTCGTAATAAGACGATACCTATATTCGGAAAGAAGTGAGGTCTCTAGCAGATCATGGGTGTACTGAAAGGTGTAAGCTTCCTGATAAGAAGCCTTAAGGCAAGAATGCCTATCCATCTTAATGTTAAAAACAATGAGAGATTAAGAAGATAAATACAGGTTTCAACAAGCAAAAGAAGCAAGATGAAGAAGGGTACGAGGTGCCTAGTTAATGAAGGTCAACATTGTTTATAATTCAGGCAAGGGAACATAAGTTTTTTGAGTTATATTCAACAGTACCAGAGGTATGTATAATTGGCCGAACCCATCTCAATTATGCCCTATGAGGGCTAATAGGTGTAGTTTAAGAAAAGGATAGAACATCAAGATTTGGTTGGGGTTAGAGTAACCCAAAATGGCGAATGGATTGTTTGTGTTACTTGACATTTCCGAAGGGTATTACAAATATGCCAATAGATCTTCTTGTGAGACACCCAGATAGTACACTCTAGAATATTACGATTAGATGTGAATACTAGCATGAAAAAAAATCAGAAGATAGGCACTAAAATCCTGGATAGGATAAATATTACCTTAGTGTGACTCTCATCCATTGTAGAGCGAGGACGTTGAGCAACCCGAAGAGCCGATGAATGAAGCAAGGAGAGCTAAAAGCAAAAGAATGTCGTGTTGAAGTTTTCACAAGAAAAGGGATATGCAGAAATATTAGTAAAGTAATGAGAAGATAGATAAGGAAGCATTATGAATAAGGTGTGATACATGGATAACGACGGTAGGAAAAAAAAGAGAAATGATAGTATTACAGAGTCTAGTCAAGTGAAT